GGCGGGAAGCCTGCTTCTCCCTCTCCCACTCCCCCTGCTTGTGTTCCCTCTCTCGCTGTGTCTCTCTCTGTCAAATAAATAAATAAAATCATAAAAAAAAAACTGAGCTTTATAGAGGAGTCAATTCAACAAGATAAAAAAAATGACGGCACTACAAATGTTAGATAACTAAAAGCAAAGCTTGCTTACTAAGATTGTAGAGATTTCCTAAACTATTATGAAAATATACCAATTGCCCCCAAAAATAAAAATCAGGTCCACCAGTTCTATACAAAGGGATCATATAGTCAAAAATAATTATTTATTCCTAAAAAGAAAATTATGAAAGCATCTACCACACACTACCAGAGAAATAGAAGAGAGCAATGATACAAAACAGGACTGAAATGAAAATTGTAGGGCCTGTTGTAATGCCAGATCTAAGAGCAGCTGTATTACCCACAGCAGGCCTTAACTGCTATGGGTAATACAGCAGTTTAGAGGTGCCAAACATCTCCAAAATGAAAAGACTGGACTTCCACTTCCAGTCAAAATGGTGTAACAGAGACTGAACTTACCCTCCCACCTAAAACCAAAAAATAACAGACAGAACACATGAAACAACAGTTCATGACATTGGACATCAGGTAACAAAGGATAATGATCCTTGAGGGAAAGGAACAGATGAGGTGAGCCCTTCTGTGGTCCCAGCTTACTGACTAAGGCGTGGGGAGGGGAAGCCAGGCAGAACTCAACGGATTCTCTGAGTTGAGGAGACACAGCTGAGAGTCAGGGAGACCAAGGACACTGGAATTCTCAGGCAGAGCATCTGAGAGGAGAGAGATACAAAGACAAAGAACCCCAGGTATCTGCAGAGGGTCCCCATCAAGAGTTCAGCTGAGTACTGATAAGTGCATGCACATGAGGACACTACCTGAGGCTAGAGACAACCAATCAAAAGGTTTAGAGGAAGCAGTACCTGGTGCTCACAGAGGGCCAAGAACAGGCCTGTTCCCTCCAACCAGACTGAAAAAATCCCATAATTCTAGAGTACTCAGAAGAGTACTTGCCTCAGTAGTGAGGAATAAATAGCTCTATATTAAATACTGCTCTGGTGCCGTTTAAGAAACCTTAAAAGCCAGAACAAAAAGGATCCAACTGTTTCCAAATTTCTTTTTTTTTTTTTTTTAATATTTATTTATTTGACAGTGAGAGAGGGAACACAAGCAGGGGGAGTGGGAGAGGGAGAAGCAGGCTTCCCGCTGAGCAGGGAGCCCGATGCGGGGCTCGATCCCAGGACCCTGGGATCATGACCTGAGCCGAAGGCAGACGCTTAACTGACTGAGCCACCCAGGCGCCCCTGGCTTCTCTCTTATTATTTAAATATCTTTAAAAGATAATTGAATGTTTAACAGGAATTGTTTAAACAAAAAAATAAATACAATGAACAGTGGGGCGCCTGGGTGGCTCAGATGGTTAAGCGTCTGCCTTCGGCTCAGGTCATGATCCTGGGGTCCTGGGATCGAGTCCCGCATCGGGCTCCCTGCTCCGCGGGAAGCCTGCTTCTCCCTCTCCCATTCCCCCTGCTTGTGTTCCCTCTCTCGCTGTGTCTCTGTCAAATAAATAAATAAAAATATTTTTTAAAAAAATAGAATAAGGTCAGGGAAAATATGGGAAATGGGGGAAATCAGGGAACACAAGAAAGTACAACCCAATGAGGAGAAAAATCAATCAAAAATCAATTAAAATTAACCCAGAACAGGGGCACCTGGGTGGCTCACTTGGACTTAAGCATTGGACTCTTAATCTCAGCTCAGAGCTTGATCTCAGGGTCATGAGTTCAAGCCCCACTTTGGGCTCCACATGAGGACACTACCTGAGGCTAGAGACAACC